TCATTTTAAGTTTTGCTTAATCTGCTTTAGTTTTTGAATTTTGTAGTTATCTAATGTTAACAAATTTTAGTGTTTTGGATAGTATAGATTCAAAAAAATCACAAAAAAAAAGCTGGTATATAATCTAAACTCAAATTCCTTTAATGTTGCATATGGTATTATTTTTAATTTATTGTGATGTAAAATTGTAAAATCATTTGGCATATAATATTCCAAATTCGACAATTCTGTCGCGCCCCAAAAAATTATAGAATATCACTTCAAAATTTGTTTAACAATGAACAAATAACAATATCCTTTTAACAATTAACATTATCCACTTTTTTACCAAAATATTATCCAATTGTTTACCATACCACGTATCAATTAACAATATCCGATATTTTACCAAAATTTTATCATCTTAGCTAACAATATTCGGTATCTAATTTATACAAATTGCATGAGAGGATTTCAAGCAAATTGCATGGGCGAATTATTTCAAACAAATTATATGAGCGGGAAAAGGCAAAAAATAAAAATAAAAAAATCCAAAATTGGTAAAAAAACGACATACAAAGGCGGAAAATGTCTTTTAAAAAGCGTGAAAACGAACCTTTTCGATTTATTTATTTACTTATTGTATATTTTCTCGGACAAATTTCTGGTTCCCTACAATATTTCAGTTACACGGTCCAACTTTTCATAAATGGTGATAAATATATTGTTTAGCTGACCGGCGACCGCCAAACCGCTGGCGAAGAATCCCACCCGCCTCTAATCCCACTCGCCTCTCCACGCGCAGCAGCCTGCAAAATAAAACAAAGGACACCAAAAGATAATGGGAAACCTCATCAAATATTCACGTGGGAACCACGCCATGTCGGCCGTTCGACAGAGCCCATTGGCCGTCACGTGCCACACAACCACCGTCAACAGATACCAACGCCGGCGGCATTCACCGGACTACGGCTTCCCAGTCGTGACATTAAAAAGAAGCCAAATAAAACCAGTTAACCAATTAGTTACACAATTTCTTAAATTTTTCTGTCAAATTAACCAAACAACTCTTGGCAGGACGTGTTCTATTGTGTTCATGAGAATAAGAGGTCTCTTTTTCAAATATACATTTGTGATTTTGTATGGTTTTTTTGTCTAAAAATTTATGAACCTGGTGACTTGCTATTGTATCTTTTTTTTTTTTTTTTAAATGGGATGTTGTTGCTTTAATAAATTGATTCATTTGGCTATTTATTATCCAATTAGCTCAACTCTGTTTATATATTCTTATAGTTATATTGTTGGTGTTGATGTGTGCTCATGAGCTTTGCAGGAGATTTGTGGTATGGATATGAAGTCAAATTGACAGATTGACAATAAAAAGAATATAACATCGACAAGTAATTATTGTACTAAATGTTTACATATTGATTATTTATACATTAATTTATAATCTATGATAATAACATGATCTTTT